TTACTTAATTATTCATTGCCTGTAGACATACATGGCGCCGTGGGCATCAATATTTGGTGACTTTACCAAGGATGCTGACGCGATGTATAACAATTTCAGAGTCTATGGCACACTGCTGCTTATTTTTATGGGTGAGTTAAACTTAGGCCCCAGTATTAAGGAGTAAACTTTAATGTACCGGCATTAAATCAAGGTCTCATTGTGTTCGTGGGCGTGAAATTTGTCAATAAGTTCGCAACGGTGGCCCTGGCCTGTGTCATTCTGTCGATAATAGCGGTGTATGTGGGAATATTTGACAATATCCATGGCAACGAAAAGTTATAGTAAGTGCCCCTAGTATTTCCCTTGAATGGCCACTTAAGCTCCTCTTGATTTCAGCATGTGTGTTCTGGGTAAACGACTCTTGAAGGATATCCCACTTGACAATTGCACAAAGGAAGATCCGTTTATCCGCGACATATACTGCCCAGATGGTAAATGCGAAGAATACTTCCTAGGTAAGTTTTTTCAAATTCACTCTTTGTTTCGAGTTTAAACAACTTTATGCTGGGTCATCAAAAAGCCAACAATGTGACCAAAGTCAAGGGCATTAAGGGTCTGGCTAGTGGAGTTTTCTACGACAACATCTTCCCTTCGTTTTTGGAGAAGGGCCAGTTCATATCCTACGGAAAGAATGCAATTGACATTGAGAACACCAATGGCCAGTCATACAACCAAATCATGGCCGATATTACCACGTCGTTCACCCTTCTTATTGGCATCTTCTTCCCATCGGTCACAGGTCGGTAATATCTTTCAGATATACATATGTTTAGATATCTATAACCTGTTTCATAACTAGGCATTATGGCTGGTTCCAATCGATCGGGTGACCTGGCTGATGCGCAGAAAAGCATACCCATCGGAACAATATGTGCCATTCTAACCACCAGCACAGTCTATTTATCCAGCGTCATGTTCTTTGCCGGCACAGTGGATAATCTCCTGCTGAGGGATAAGTAAGTAAAATAACTCATCTGAACTCACGTGCATAACTAAGACCTCCGATTCTTATAGATTCGGTCAATCCATCGGTGGCAAATTGGTTGTGGCTAACATTGCTTGGCCAAATCAGTGGGTCATTCTAATTGGCTCTTTCCTGTCTACCTTGGGAGCTGGTCTACAGAGTTTAACTGGAGCTCCCCGTTTGCTGCAGGCGATTGCTAGGGATGAGATTATTCCCTTCCTGGCTCCGTTTGCCAAATCCTCGAGTCGTGGCGAACCCACCCGGGCCCTGCTTTTGACCGTCGTTATTTGTCAGTGCGGAATTCTGTTGGGTAAGCTTGGGATTATATGTTTTTGACTGCGGTTACAATATCCAACTATCATAGGCAATGTTGACTTGCTGGCACCTCTCCTGTCCATGTTCTTCCTCATGTGCTACGGCTTTGTTAACCTGGCTTGCGCCGTCCAAACCCTGTTAAGGACTCCCAACTGGAGACCCCGCTTTAAGTTCTATCACTGGAGCTTGTCGCTGATTGGCCTGACGCTGTGCATATCTGTCATGATCATGACTTCCTGGTATTTCGCACTGATTGCTATGGGAATGGCTATCATCATCTACAAATATATAGAGTACCGAGGGTGAGTTATTTAGGTATATACTAATGCAGCCAGAATACGATTTAATCCTTAAAATTGCAGTGCCGAGAAGGAGTGGGGTGATGGCATTCGTGGAATGGCCCTTACCGCCGCCAGGTACTCGCTCCTCCGTTTGGAGGAAGGCCCACCGCATACGAAAAATTGGCGTCCCCAAATTTTGGTGCTTTCGAAGCTCAACGATAACCTCTTGCCAAAGTATAGGAAGATATTCTCCTTTGCCACCCAGCTGAAAGCAGGCAAGGGATTGACAATTTGTGTGTCTGTGATAAAGGGCGACCACACCAAGATAACCAATAAAGCCGTGGATGCGAAGTCCACGCTGCGCAAATACATGACCGACGAAAAGGTTAAGGGATTCTGCGATGTTCTGGTATCACAACAGATCGGTGAAGGCCTCAGTTCAGTGTAAGTTGTAGTTAATAAAAAACTAGTTATATCAAAACTAATAACTAAATTATATTCACAGCATCCAAACCATCGGACTGGGAGGCATGAAGCCCAACACTGTTATCATCGGATGGCCATATAGCTGGCGACAAGAGGGCAGAAATAGTTGGAAGACCTTCATTCAAACGGTCCGCACAGTAGCCGCCTGCCACATGGCTCTCATGGTGCCCAAGGGCATCAACTTCTATCCAGAATCAAACCACAAAGTAGTATTTAACGCTCCGAATCCGTAGTCTTCACTGTGTAACATTTTTGTCGATTTCAGATTGGTGGCAACATTGATATCTGGTGGATTGTCCACGACGGTGGTCTGCTCATGTTGCTGCCCTTCCTGCTAAAGCAGCATCGCACCTGGCGTAATTGCAAGCTTAGGATCTTCACAGTTGCTCAAATCGAGGACAACTCGATTCAAATGAAGAAGGATCTAAAGACATTCCTGTACCATCTCCGAATCGAGGCCGATGTCGAAGTTGTTGAGATGGTATGGTATTAAAAATAAATCTTGTTTGAAATGGGAAACTATTTAACGATTTTGATTATTGTAAACTTTAGAACAACAGCGATATTTCCGCTTACACCTATGAGCGGACTTTGATGATGGAACAGCGCAATCAGATGCTGAGAGCATTAGGTTTAAATAAGAAAGAAAACTCCAAAGTGGTAAGTGGTCATCATTAGAGCAGACTCTCATTTACGACATCTGTTCTGCATCGTTATTTCTTCGAACTGAAGATTTTCATACATTCAACTCATTATTGTTTTGTTTATACGGCCATAATGCACATTTAGATGTTCATTTACTTTAATCTTTATTAGCATAGTTCTTATAATTGTTCGTTTTGAAGGTTGCGTATTTTGATTTCAGTATTTATTGAGAGAAAACCATTTTGCCCTTTGTTTCTCATGTACTTCCAACTTCCATATCATATTACTATCTCAGATCCAAATTAAAATTTTACACTTTATATATTTAAAAATCAAAAGGTTCAGACTATAATGGACTTTAAGGAAACACCCAGTGATAATAAATTGTCTTTGGTAAAGAGTATAAACAGAATGACTATATTGATATATCAAGATACAAACTTTTCATTGCCCGAACTTTGTATGAATCCTGATTGTGTGTATCTCATCAGTACATTTTACGACAGGAGCACGTGGCTCCTTTCATTTTCATACATATCATAAACCTTTATGTGTTGTGTCAATGTGATGTTGCTAATGCTCACCCTCCTATCTATCTATTATAACTCTATGAAACCGTAAATTATTCTCAACTTCCTCTATTGGACTTCCTTTATAAGTTGCTGTAATCAGCAGAAAGTCAGGATCTCTAAAGCTGGCCAAACCAAAACATTCAGTTATAACTTTCAAATTTAAAAACAATGTCAATTATGCTTCTAATTTAAAAAATTTTGTGTAATAAAACGTGTTCTTAATATATAATGCTCTTTTACTTCGGTACTCCGAAGGTTTACTTTATCATAAATAGAATCAAGATACTTCTTCTATAAAAAATACATCTTCGACTCAAGATATTTATTCATAAATTAAGAATGGCTGGACCGATTTTAAATTTCGTGTACGGGTCCGTCATAGAGATTAAAACTTAATCAAGATTAATTATAATTTACCTGCTTTGCGTCATGCATCCCGAGAATAGTATAACCCTCCTCTGATATTGGCCTCCCCACTCTTCTGCAACCTATTTTCTCATACTCCTCATGGTAACATTTTCAGGTTCAAACAATTGTAGACCACCATTATGACGCCACCAAAACGGCGTCTAAAGTTCGCTTCGCCGATCCTACTATAGAAGAAATACAACATCACGTATGTACTGCTTTTAGACTTTAATTTACCATTGTCTCTAATCTCTCGATAATACACATAAGAACATAAATAAAGATAAGTGAGATCTACGAGCTCATCCAGTGTAAGCCTGAAACATCCTAAATCTAAATCATAAATCCATAGTTGAACACGTAAACCACTTATGAATAAACTTGAGTTACAGTTTTAGTGATATTTTGGCTTTTTACCATTGTTGATTTTACATGATTTTTAAGTTTTTAAAATCGACGGCACTTGTCATTCGAAATCAAGAATGTGAACTATTTTAGACATCTAAAAACATTTTCGATCGCTACTCTACAGGATTCTCAGAACGATGAGAAACGTAACTCAATTGATTTGGATGGTCCCGAAAATGCGGACACACCCGAAACTACTTCAAACAAGGATGAATCGACAGAGAAAGCCGACGGAGACTTTAAGTCCAGTGTGAAACCGTATGGCAGAAGATCTTTTAATATACCGTCTAGCATCCTTTAATCTTTCTATATCCCACAGGGATGAGTTCAATGTTCGTCGCATGCACACAGCAATAAAACTAAACGAGGTGATTGTAGAAAAGTCACAGGATGCCCAGTTGGTCATAATGAATTTACCTGGACCACCTAGGGAAGTGAGAGCGGAGCGTGAAAGCAATTGTAAGATCTGGAATCGTACGGCCTTAGGTATATCCTAAATGTCTATCTTTACCTTTTTTCAGATATGGAATTTCTGGAGGTATTAACAGAGGGCCTTGAAAAAGTGTTAATGGTTCGTGGAGGAGGCCGGGAAGTTATAACAATTTACTCTTAAGAGCATTAATCGCTCAGTTTTATAAGAGTTCGCAACACTAGACAAGTTTAAGAATCAATCAAATTTTTAAAAGAAGGTTATTAATTTGTTATATTCAATCATATGTCCAAATATTTTATTTTTACGTAAATAAAATATCAAAAAATTGTAACAATAAGAAAAAAGGATATTTGCATTGGTCGATTACTTTTACATGTGGTTAAAAACTAGTTGCTTTGGTAACATCGCCAGGAGACCGAGTAAACAAGACTTACAAGTTATTTACCCAACAGTTTACAAGGTAAAATCATCGTGTGTAAAATCAGAGGCGTTTGACATGCTGTCCAACACTGAAAGTCGTTGGCTTCTCCCAACTTTTGTTATTTCAACCGTAGCGAGCTGTACGTTTTATTACCTTCGATGGCTTAGACGTTTTGTGTGCAAAATATATTATATTGAAGCTCCTGAAAATACTCAAAATAGTTTAAATTACTTTAGAGATCTTCAGTAATAACAGATTAATGAATTCGGAATCGAAAGACCTGGACTTGAGAAAGGTTTGAACGGCGATCTCCTGCTGGAGATTCATCAGTTTATTTTGAACACGCAAGCAACTTTTTGGTACCCAGAAACAAAAGAACCAAAATGTGTCGAGCGTAAACATATGCATCTGGGTTGATCCGAAAACCATATTTATTGGTAATTTTCTCTGCCACAGGGCGATGTAGAAAGACCACACTTCGAGCCAGTTACCACATTGTCAGATTCCCAGGCGATTAGGAGCGTTGACTTTCATCCAAATGGAAAGTTGTACGCAGTGGGCTCCAACTCCAAGACCTTTCGCATCTGCCAGTACCCCCAGCTGTCAAAGCTAAGGTAATTAATATTTGATTTCCTATTTGGGAATAACTAAATTAGTTTCCCCGAATCGAATGAAGGCATGGCCAGCAGACGTCGGTGTATCCCCCATCCGTTCTCTGCAAGCGAACGAAACACCATCGGGGATCCATATACTGCACCTGTTGGTCACGAGATGGAGAGCTCATTGCCACCGGATCAAACGACAAGACCATCAAGTACATGAGGTTCAACAACGACACCAACCAGTTGGTGGGTCACGAGATGGAGCTGAATATGCACGACGGAACGGTTCGGGATATGTGTTTCCTGGACGACGCGTCCACCAAGTCCAGACTTTTGGCGAGTGGTGGGGCCGGGGACTGCAAGATCTATATCACAGACTGCGGAACTGGCACTCCCTTTCAGGCCTACAGTGGTCATTCTGGCCACATTCTGTCACTCTACAGCTGGAACAATGCGATGTTCGTCTCGGGCTCCCAGGTGGGTCTTGAATAATTTATATTTTGTGGGTGACCCTAAATATTGTATTTCTCACAGGATCAAACGATACGCTTCTGGGATCTGCGAGTAAATGTCTCCGTAAACACCTTGGACAATGACCGAAAAGATGGTGGCATGGAGAACTCGGCTGTAACTGCAGTTTGTGTGGATCCCACGGGCAGACTTTTAATTTCTGGACATGCTGATAGCTCTTGTGTTCTGTACGACATCCGTGGAAACCGACCCATTCAGCGATTCTATCCCCATACTGCTGAAATAAGGTAGTGCTTATAGTAGTACTCAACGTTCTTCTACATAATCTAATGAATATCATTTAAGATGTGTCCGCTTTTCCCCATCCGCCTACTATATGCTGACATGCAGCTACGATAATTCGATTCGGCTAACAGATTTGCAGGGAGATCTGGCCCACGAACTATCTTCCGTGGTAGTGGCGGAGCACAAGGACAAGGCCATCACCATAAGGTGGCATCCAACCGAGTTCAGCTTTATTTCAACGTCTGCGGACAAGACGGCCACGTTATGGGCCTTACCGCCGTCGTAAGGGCTAAATCATTGTTGCAATAACGGCTTTAACTTCGTTGTCAATATTGTATTTCTGCAGAATAGTTCAGACTGATCTAATTTATTAAATAAACCGCATTCCAAGAATGTATGTGTCTTTCGAACATTGCTGGGCTGGAACAAACACCTTCATAAATAAAAACAAATCATTCTAATTTATATATTTGGTATATATTTATTTAAATCCGTTCTTACTAACCCACAGTTCCATTAATATTTTACTTTCTAAAGCAAATAAATTGATTTATGTTGGATTTAATGTTGCAGTTGCAAGTAACAGGGCTGGCTTAGCGATTAATACACGAATGATAAAGGCAGAAAAATTTGTCCTCCTTCACATTCACTTTCACATTCGTATCGGTTTTGGTGGTCCAAACCTTTACATCCTGTCGACGACGACTTCAGGAACTACAGTTTTGTAAAGGGGCGAATAACGGTGGCAATTATTACCAGGGGTTCTTAATACAGGAGTTCAACCAACGCAAGAGCAAACCAAAACTCATGGGTGGATTTGGGGCATTGAACTTGGGACCATTTAAGCGGCATCAGCGATCTGCATCTTCCGAAATTGTGGAATTTTGCAGTTTCGGTGGGCTTATACTTACAACCTAATGAACTTGACTTGGACTTTCGTGGGAAATGTGTGTTTCTACTAGGAGATGGGGGAATAGTAAACAGGCCAGCTTCGGATTTCTTGTTTTATTATTTCGTTTTTACGTTTAGATATCTTACATGCTGAATTTCAAATCTGTGTTTTCTCGTTTATGCCGTCGAGTGCGATAATGTAATAGACCATAATGTACAGCAATTGTTCTTTTCTACATTCACATCGATTTGGCGCACTCGGACATAATATAATAACTGCACGTACTTTTCTAAAGCAGGGATGGATTCAATTTGTGTTATGGTAACTAATCGGGGGTCCAGTTAATGAAATCTGGGATTGACTGTATAAAATAAAACAATAGTTCATTGAGAGATGGTGAATAGGTAGATTGGTAAATTGGTAGGTAGGTAGGTAGGTACTTTCGTCGGTAGTTTCTGCCAAGAAGGATTCTTTTGCACCAACGAGTCACGTGCATCGTGCAAGCAAACGGAATTAAAAAATAACTTGCAGCAGCGAACATAAGCTTTTTGGGGGGAGTTTTGGGTCCCAATCGTCGGGTTTCGTAGAGCCAGCACTTTTTAGTTCTGCATAATTTATTTCTTTAATGTTAGGTGTAGGTAATTTTTGTTTAATCAATTCACAGCGTCTCTAATTGTATAACAGAGTAAATTATGTATAATGTTAATTTAAATAGGTATTCTATAAAAATGCTAGAAGGATTACTTAATTCCTTACAACTGAGGCTGACATAAATTACACAATTTGCTTTCAATAAATCCCTCAAACATTTTTAATACGGTTGTTGCACCGCTTAATCTTTTTTCTGATGGATGCCTTACGCATTATGTACGATCGCCAGAGACACTCTTCCTAATCATTTGCTTATATATGTACATACAATACAATACAAATGGAAATGGACATCGAGACGATATTGCAGATATCCAGATTGTGGGAGTTAACTGTGTACCGAGTCATTATTTACTTAATATCTTGTGCTCAAATAATTCTTACAATTATGGAATGAATGAACCAATATTTATTTGTATTTCGGTGCGAGTAGCCATATTGACACAAGTACGGGTAAGCAATTCAATTACGATAAAAAAAGCCATTTTTTACACTACTCTTTCAAAAGATGATAGGACTCTCGATTGCAATTATCGAAAACATCAACGTAAAATCAGATTCGATTTGGTAATGTATTTTCTTTTACTAAAACGGATTAAACAAAAATTGTTCACGAACTTTCATCAATAATAATGTTTTGTTCTTTTGCATAATTAAACCTACACTTTAGTATTTCAGTTACTAAACAAAGAAAAGAAGTTGAAGTTAAATAAATTTTGTTTAATACAAAAAAAAAGCCACCTCTTTGTCTGAGATTTGAATTTCCCTAAACGTTTCTTTTTGGCAACCCAGTGAATGTTAAATGACAAAAATTAACTAATGTAATTGTATATACCGTTGTGGAACTCTCTTATGTATATATAGCATTGTATGTACAAAAAGCAATCCTGCTAAATTTAATAATATACAAACACAAATATATATTTAGGGTATATGCGTGTTAGATAAATCGTTAGGTCATAGAAAAGATTGATCATTTAACGCTGTTTGTTCAAAGCCAAAAGCCAAGGAGCGAGTCAGTCGGCCCATCTTTTGGTGTCACCAGTCAATTCTGTGACACCGGGGTGGAAATCAGTAGTATTTGGGAACAAACTTCATGTATGTTAAAGTCGTTACGTTAGATGTATATAATTGTGGGTTCTTGTTTCTGTTTATATTTAGTAACATTTTATACTAGAAATTAGAATAATGAAGTTGGGCTTATGGATTACAATTATATTCTTAAAGCATCATAGCGTATAGTAGGCCAAAGAAGACAGCCCACATTAACACAATCCCATGCATCTTATATATAGGACTCTCACCATCTGCGATTTTTCTAGCAACAAACTTCAATGTCTCATCTAATAAAACTACAGGAATTGAGAATTTCATCACAGTTATCCATTCCTCTGCAGACAACGGTGTCACTTGGAAGACGGTCTGTAGGGGATAATCGAGTTAGCTTTCGAAGGAGACAAATGCCTATCGTCGTCTGGTACTTACGGAGAGGACATCGACGTAAAGAATAACAAAGTGAAGAGTGAAGGAGAGTGCCATTGATCCAATCAGCCACAGGTTGCACCATGGCGGCATAGTAATCAGCGACTGGTTTTCAGACAAGCTAAGTAAACAAAGCGAGTTTTGTTCATATCTATCATGTCTATCTTACGTTATCTGACTCACCTGTTCATTGCGTTCAACATTTCGATTGTTACCAGCACAGACAAAGCCATGGTCATCGCATGTGGATCGCTGAAGATCTTGCAGTCAACGCCCTTGAACTCATCACCACCGCCCAAACAGGCCAAGTGATGAGTCAGCTGCCAGTACGACAGTTTGGGTCCCTCGTCAGAGAACACGAACCACCAGGCGGCGGCACCAACGGTGGCAGCGCCGACATAGAAGCCAATAGCCATATAACTAAATTCAATTAAAACAACAATAATTGTTCAAATCGTCTTAGAAAAATCGTAATGCTGGGGAACATACCGGAAGAACAACCAACCCGAAATGAGACCCTCATCGGCCTTCCTGGGGGGCTTCTCCATGATATCCAGATCAGGGGGGTTGAAACCAAGAGCGGTGGCTGGGAGACCATCAGTAACCTGCGAGTAAAAGGCAATTATTAGCCACTCTAAAATGTTTGGTGCCCAGTGAATATTTACCAAGTTAACCCAGAGCAGCTGGACGGGAATAAGAGCCTCGGGCAGACCGAGGGCAGCAGTAAGGAAGATGGAGACGACCTCACCAATGTTCGAGGAGATGAGATAACGAATGAACTGCTTCATGTTGTTGTAAATAGCGCGACCTTCTTCAACGGCGGACACAATGGAGGAAAAGTTGTCATCAGCCAGGACCATTTCAGCGGCAGACTTGGCGACAGCGGTACCAGAGCCCATGGCAATACCAATCTCGGCCTTCTTCAGGGCAGGGGCGTCGTTCACACCATCACCAGTCATGGCAGAAATTTCGTTCATGCTCTGCAGGAACTCAACAATCTTGGACTTGTGCTGGGGCTCCACACGGGAGAAGAGGCGGGAACGGGCGACGGCAGCTTTCTGTTCGGTGGGGGAGAGGTCGTCGAATTCGCGACCGGAGTAGGACTTGCCAGTGGTGTCCTCATCCTCAGAGAACACACCAATCCTGCGGCAGATAGCCTCGGCAGTCGCCTTGTTGTCACCAGTAATCACAATAACACGAATACCGGCGGCACGGCAGCGCACAATGGAATCGAAAACTTCTTTACGAGGGGGATCCAACATGCCCACGACACCGACGAAGGTTAAGTTAACCTCATACTGGTAGAACTTGGTGGAATCACCCAGATCCATCTCATCGGGCTTCATGGGGCTATCGGCAACAGCCAAAGCCAGGCAACGAAGGGTGTCGCGTCCGGTACCGTACTGGCCGGTCAGAGCGAGGATCTTGGCCTTCAGGGCAGATGTCAGAGGAACCTTTGAGGTGCCAACGCGGGCGTGTGTGCAGCGTTCTAGGACACCCTCAGGGGCACCCTTCACGAACAGTTTGGGACCAGTTCCCAGACGGGAAGCCTTCAGGGGGGTGCAGTACGAGGACATGGATTTACGATCGCGAGAGAACTCAAGGGTGAATTCCTTCTTCCACTTGGTCTCAATCTCACCGCGGCAAGCGATGGCAGCGGAGCGACGGTCCAAGCCAGATTTGTTCACGCTGAAGCTGTTCAGTTTCTCGGCCAGAACAATTAAAGCGGTCTCAGTGGCCTCACCGACCTTCTCAAAGGCCTGCTTAAACTCATTGTAATCAATGGCGGAGTCGTTGCACATGATGCAGATAGTAGACAATTCCTGCAGAGTATCGTAATCGGCAGCCTTGACGCGCTGACCGCCCAGGAAGACCTCACCGATGGGCTCGTACGTGGAGCCAGTCAGCTCGAATTCCAGGAAGCTGCTGTCGTTGCCTTCGACCTTGTCGAAGATAAACATACGCGAAACAGACATCTGGTTGGTGGTGAGTGTGCCGGTTTTATCAGAGCAGATGACTGAGGTGCAGCCCAGGGTCTCCACGGAGGGCAGGGAGCGGACGATGGCGTTCTTCTTGGCCATGCGACGGGTGCCCAGAGCCAGACAGGTTGTGATAACAGCGGGCAGACCCTCGGGGATGGCAGCCACGGCCAGAGCGACGGCGATTTTGAAGTAGTAGATGGCACCCTTAATCCAGGAGCCACCGTGGGCGGGGTCGTTGAAGTGTCCAATGTTAATGGCCCATACAGCAACGCAAATAACGGAGATGACCTTGGACAGCTGCTCACCGAACTCGTCCAGTTTCTGCTGCAGGGGGGTCTTGATCTCTTCAGTCTCGGACATCTCAGTACGGATCTTGCCAATGGCGG